GAGGAGAGCATCGCCCCAGCGTGCGAGGCATTGGAGAACATCATCAAGAACCACCAGATCCCCGATGCCGTCTCGATGGTGGACCTCACTCAGCTGTCATCGAAGGCAGAGCTGACCACGGGCATTGCCGAGGCCTTCCAGGCGGTGATGGTCATCAACTCCAAGCTCCCTCCGGGCTCGGAGAAGATCACCGCCCGGGTCACGTCCGCCCTGGCCGCGGCCAAGAAGATCATGGCCACGGTCAGCGCCGCGCAGTGCATCTTGCGCGGCAGCGCCGATGAGTTGGCCAACTTCGAGACGAGCCGGCTGAAGCCAGTCCAGGTAACCAAACAGCGAATCAAATGACACATGACCACCAAATTCCAATGTCCAAAGTATTCTCAATTCTTAATTCCAGATTCCGAACTCCGAGCTCCGAGCCTTGACAAATCCCAACTCCCCAACGGGGCCCTAACCCCTGACCCCCAACCGTTGGCCCACCCCCCTAAAGTTAAAAAGGTTTAATATTTCCTCGGGCCCTGGCCCCAGGGAGGGCGCATTTGGACTTTATCTTGGACTTTCGATTTTGGATTTTGGACGCGCTATTTTCCAGGGGGCGCACCCAGGGGGCTAGGGTTTGGGGTTTGGGGTTATAATCGCTTCGCTCATTCCGCCGGCCCATATTGTCGCACCGTTGTGGGCTAGCCGAGTTTTGGGGCCTCTTGGGGGCCGTTTTGGGGCCTCTTGGGGCCTCTCTTGGGCGCCTCTTGGGGCGTCTTGGGGGCCTCTTGGGGGCCTCTTGGGGCCTTTTTGGGGCCTCCTGGGCGCCTTCTGGGGCGGAGGGCTCGATTTTTCAGTTCTCGGTTCCCCTCTTGAGCCCCTCTTGGGCCCGTCTTGGGGCCTCTTGGTCCGTCTTGGGCGGCACTTGGGCCGTCTTGGGGGCCCTCCTGGGCCGTTCCGGGGCCGTCTTGGGGGCCTCGTGGGCCGTCTTGGAGCGGTCTTGGGGGCCTCTTGGGCCGTCTTGGAGCGTCCAGGAGCCGAAAAAGCCAGAACGCGAAAAACATAGAAAAAAATGAAAATCAACGATGTTGGTCTCTTGGGGCCCTCTTCGGAGGCCTCTTGGAAGGCCCTTGGGGCGTCTTGGAGGCCTCTTGGGCTGTCTTGGGGCCTTGTTGGGCGTCTTCGGGCGATCTTTGGCCGTCTCGGGGCCCTCTTGGACCGTCTTGGAGGCTTCTTGGGGACCTCTTGGCCCGTCCTGGGGCCTTGTAACAGAACTCCGGCATCTCTGGCCCGACCTTGCCGGGACCTTGCCGGGGACTTGCCGGGACCTTGCCGGGGACTTGCCGGGACCTTGCCGGGGTACGGCGCACCCAGGGGGCTAGGGTTTGGGGTTTGGGGTTATTCCCAACAATCCTGTGGTGTTGGGTCCTCGTTTTGAAAAGACGGTGCCCCGCGTCTCCTTCTTTCCTCCCCCCCCTCCTCCCTCCTCCCCCATCCTGTCTTTTGCTCTCCGCATGTTTCTGCTTCGGCAAACCCCTCGCACGTTTCGGAGCCTTCCTTCAGGCTCGGGAGACCCTTCTTACACGGCCACCCGGCCTCCAACAAGCCCCAAACACGTTCCCGAGCAGCTTCCAGAAGCTCTCCTGGGCGCGGTCGCCGGAGCCTTCAAGAACCCCTCCCCCCAGGGTGCTATGGAGCTTCCCACTTCGTGGAAACCCCGCCGGATTGGAAAAACACATACCCCACGCCTCCTGGGACACCTCTCGCGCGGGAGGGGTTCGAAAAAATGCGTCTGGATGCAGCCGCCAGACGCTCAGGAACCTTTATCCTGGGCTCCCTCTCGCGCGGCGCGTGTCCCAGGAGGTGTGGGATATGTTTTTTCCCGGAAAAGGGCTTTGGCCCAGGGTTCTCTTTTAGTATGTAAACATAGTCCCCCGTGCCCAACTTGAAGGAGGCCGGCGGATTCTTTCCCTGATGAATTTCGAGGTCGAAGGAAGGAGGCCGGCGGATTAAAATTTGAGGATGTCTCAGGCGAAACGCTTGTTTTTGAAATCCCGATCGATAAATCACAGGGTGCGGGCCGCCTCAGCACGACCACACCCCAGCACGACCATGCCCCAGCACGACCACACCCCAGCACGACCCCGCCCCAGCACGACCCCACCCCAGCACGACCACGCCCCAGCACGACCACACCCCAGCACGACCACACCCCAGCACGACCACACCCCAGCACGACCCCACCCCAGCACGAGCCCACCCCAGCACGACCACACCCCAGCACGACCACACCCCAGCACGACCCCACCCAAGCACGACCACACCCCAGCACGACCACGCCCCAGCACGACCACTCCCCAGCACGACCCCGCCCCAGCACGAGCCCACCCCAGCACGACCACACCCCAGCACGACCCACCACAGCGCGACCCCACCCAAGCACGACCCCACCCCAGCAAGACCACACCCCAGCACGACCACACCCCAGCACGACCTCACCACAGCGCGACGACCACACCCCAGCACGACCACGCCCCAGCACGACCACGCCCCAGCACGACCACGCCCCAGCACGACCACCCCCAGCACGACCACCCCCCAGCACGACCACCCCCCAGCACGACCACACCCCAGCACGACCACACCCCAGCACGACCACTCCTCAGCACGACCACACCCCAGCACGACCACACCACAGCACGACCACACCCAGTCGCACTCCCGTGGAATGTTTCGTGGGGTGTCTCGTGGAATGCCGTCGTCGTCCTCGTCCGCGATGTGCTTTGGTTGAGTGGTTGCCTGTTCGTGGGGTGTCTCGTGGAATGTTTCGCGGGGTGTCGCGTGGAATGTTTCGTGAGGTGTCTCGTGGAATGTTTCGTGAGGTGTCTCGTGGGATGTTTCGCGGGGTGTCTCGTGGGATGTTTCTTGAGGTGTCGCCCAGTTGGGTATCGTGAAAACGTGACCGTGCCCCACATGTCTATATCCCTTTCCAGGTTCGTGGGTCCATCATGTTTCCACTCAGAGTTCCTGTCCCGCTTCGACCCCCCCCGGAGGGCACCATTCAGGAGACGACGACGGAGGAGGAGGAGGAGGAGGGGGAGGAGGAGGAGGAGGACGAGGAGGACGAGGACGAGGACGAGGACGAGGACGAGGACGAGGAGGACGACTCGTCGTCGTTACCGTCGTCGTCGTCGTCGTCCTCCTCCTCCTCCTCCTCCTCCTCCTCCTCCTCCACTCCTCCTCCTCCTCGTCGTCGTACTCGTCGTCGTGCTCTTCGTCGTGCCCGTCGTCGTCGTCCTCCTCGTCGTCGCACTCGTCTTCGTACTCCGCATACGTAGGGAGCGCCATATAAGGTCCCAGTGGTGCAGCCCGCATGGCGCCGCCGCCCCACTTTGGCACACCCGCCTGGTCGGAGGTGAATGGTTAGGGCCCTTCAATTTTCGGTACGAGGTGAGTCGCTCGGGCCCCGCAGTTTTCGGTCGAAGGTGAATCGCTGGGGCCCCTCATTTCTGGGTCGGAGGTGAATCGTGCGGGCCCCTCGGTTCTCGGTCGGGGGTGAGTCGCTCGGGCCCCTCATTTCTCGGTCGGAGGTGAGTCGCTCGGGCCCTTCAGTTCTCGGTCAGAGGTGAGCCGCTCGGGCCCCTCAGTTCTCGGTCGGAGGTGAGTCGTTCGGACCCATCGCATTTCGGTCGGAGGTGAGTCGTATGGGCCCCTCAGTTTTCGGTCGGAGATGAGTTGTTCGGACCCCTCAGTTCTTGGTCGGAGGTGAGTCGTTCGGGGTTCTCGGTCGGAGGTGAATCGCTCGGGCCCCTCAGTTCTGGGTCAGATGTGAGTCGTTCGGACCCATCGCATCTCGGTCGGAGGTGAGTCGTTCGGGCCCCTACGTGTTGCGGCCCCATGGCCCATCGGGAGTTCCGCCGAAGACGATCTCACAACTGCGGCTCTCGCAACTGCAGCGCTCAGAATTGCACGGGCTGGCCATCGTAATCATCGCCGCTATCCCCTCGCACGTAGCGCGGCCCCATCGGGGGGCTCCACCCCACTGGCAGCGCCCGCGTGGCCGCAGCGCCCCATTTCGGCACACGCCTCACACGCGCGTTTGGTGGCCCCATGAAGGGGGCTGGAATTCAGGCCTCAGTGGCAGCGCCCGCATGGCGGCCCCTCCCCATGTCGGCACACCCTTCGCACGCTTCGTGGCCCCACGAGGAGATCCACCGAAGGCGATACCAACAACGACTGCATTTACATCTGCATATGGTTGGGTCCCTCGCCCGGCTAATTGGGGAGCAGGTCGCCCTCGCGGATCTCCCCTTCACCATCCGGGAGGCCATCCACAACGCCAAGAAGACCGACGAGGGCGGAGGGCCAGAGGGCTTGGCGCCCCCGGCGGGGGACGGCCCGGGCCCATCCGATCTGAAGAAGCAGTCTGCTTGAAGCGGCCGCGCAATGCTTTGAATTTTGATATCGTTGGCCGCGAGCCGCATGCCGCAAGCCCCTCCCCTCCCGACTACCGCTCTCCCCTGGCCGCATGCCGCGTGCCGCGGCCGCTTTCTTTCCCGCTCTCCCCTCCCGACTCCTCCCCTGGCCGCCTGGCTGCCTGGCTCTGATGATTTTGATGTTTTGCCGACCGCGCGCCTCGGGCGTCTGCAGTGGAGACGATCCGCAGGGGGCGTCGCGGCGCCCCAGCCGGCAGCGCAGCCGCCAAGTAGTTCCGAGGCATTGGGTTGGCAATGGCAATGGCTGCCCGCAGGGTTCGCAGCAGCACTGCCTCGCGAGGCATTTGCGCATTCGGCGCGCGAATGCGCTTCCTAGCTTCCTAGTTTGACTCTTCGGCGCGGCGTGGCTGCAGGGGGGTAGAGCGGGAAAGGCGCGAGTCTTAGCGGTTGGCTCTGTCCGACCGTCTGCGCCCCAGTTGCTGCGCGCCCCCCGCCGGCCCAGCCGCAGGCATGAGGGGTAAAGGGATTCAAGGGGAATGGTGGGAGGCGAGAGGTGAGAGGTGAGAGACTAGAGACTCGGAGCTCCGGGGCGTTTGCTGCAGCTCGATTCGCGCGGGGCCCGCCGTTGCGAGCAGCCGCCTGCTCTGCCGGCACCGGGCGCCTGTAGGGGGAGGGCGCCCGCGCGCCGCAGGCGGCTGTCTGACTGCTCGCCTGTGAGCACAGGCCATCGCCGACGCCAGGATTGGTTAGATATAGCGCCTGGGGGCGGCTGGGGGCTGAGGCTGAGGCTCAGGGCTGGGGCCCAAGGGAGTTGGCGCGGGTTTGGAAGGGGCCCTAGGCTCTGGGGCAGCTGGCGTTCGATTTCTTGGTTCTGGGGAGTGCCAGCTCAGTGAAAAAACATTGCACAGCAAGGGGGGGGGCCCAGGGTCTGCACCGCAGCTGCGCCTCGTCGAAGAGCGGAAGTCCGGGATCTGATGATTTATGAATCGTGTGTCTGTGTGTTTACATTGCCCAGCCCAGAGCCCAGAGCCCCAGAGCTGCTCATCACATGCGGCGCGCAGGGCCCGCCGGTCGGCGGGCCCGCGGCACCGCTGTCCGCCGTGCCGCTACGCAGGTTCCGCTCCGATCCGATCTGGCTCGACCGGGGGCGTCGAGCATCGACGACGCTCCACTCCCAGACTCTGGGCTCTGACGCTCTGGCCTCTGGCCTCTGGCTCCAAACTGCAACCCGATCCTCTGGCTTCGACCTCTGATCTGCAACTGGGAACTTACAACTTAGACCTGAGACTCAGCCCTGAGACCTGAGACTTGAGACTCAGATCTTTCGTTCGATCCGATACTGATTGCCCCCCCTCCACGTCTTTCGACCCGATCAACCATTGGGCGCCTGCGTCCCCCTAGAGCCCTTGGACTTCGGTGCTTCGGGGCTCAGGTTCCGATCAATGCCGACCGGCGGCTGACCGTCGGCCTCGTCTTCCCTCGCCGAGTCTGCTGCCGTGGAGGCCCGAAGTTTCGCGCAGCTCAGAGCCGGGGGCCGCGCGCGAGAAACTTTCGACCCCCACCCCCGCAGAACAGCCTCTGGAGGAGGAGAGGGAGGAGGAGGAGGAGGAGGAGGAGGAGGAGGAGGAGGAAGAGGAGGGGGAGGGGGAGGAGGGGGGAGGAGGAGAAAAGGGGGGAGGAGGGGGAGGAGGAGGAGGGGGAGGAGGAGGAAGAGGAGGAGGAGGAGGAGGAGGAGGGGGAGGGGGAGTTCGGTAGGGGCGGGGGTCGAAATTTTTCTGTTCTAGCTCCAAGCCTGGGTAGCCACGCCGAGGGCCCAAGGAGCCAGGGCCAGTCCCGCGGCCTAGGGGCCTAGGGCCGATGGCCTCCATAGATCCTTTGGCGATAATTCTCGGGTTGCCAAGACAGGCCTCGGGCCCTGGCCATGCTGCGGACGAGACGTCCGGTGGCGATGGCAGCGGCGCAGGCTCGGCGGCTGGCGGCGGCGGCCCGGGCCCTGCCGCCCACCTGCCAGCGCTTGTCCCGCCAGCGCAGCCGCCCTCCACGCGCATGGGCGGCGGCCAGGCCCAGGCGGCACCTGCAGTCGCTGAGTGGGCGATGAAATTGGCAGCGAGCTTGACCCTGGCCGACATCGAGCATCTCAACGCAATCGGCCAACAACATGTTTTCAGCGTTGGCACGGACTGCACCGGCTCCAACGCTTACTGGATGGCGGCGATGGAAATCAAACAGGCGCTGTCTGCAACGCATGGGATCACTACTTCTTGGATTAACGCGTTCTCCAGCGAGGACCCTGGCCGCGGGGGGGACCCCCCACGCAAGTTCATCCAGCTCAACTGCGAGCCGACTGTGTTGTTCGACGACATGCTTCAGCGATCTAACCAGCGGGGCTACTGCAGGCCATTGCCGGGCGTTGAAACCTGGAATCCCTGGAGTCGGGCTCTGCGGCGGCACGGCTAAACAGCTGGCCAACCACCAAACGCCAAACCGACCCCGGGCCCCTGGCCCCAGGCCACGCACGGACCACGGGCCCCAGCCCCGAGCCGCCCCCAACCGGCGCGGCGCAGGCGGGGACGGGGAGGGGGAGGGGAGGGCACAGGGCAAAGGAGGAGAGGGGGGGGGAGGGAAGGGGGAGGGGGGAGGGGGGGGTCGCCAGGCGCCGTACGTTTCATCGTAATTGCCCCAGCAGTTCTAGATTTGTGAATTGTGATTTGTGATTTATTTTGTATTTGGTATTTTGTATGTGGTATTTGGTTTTAGTTTGCCAGAGAGGTCTAGAAGCTAGAAGTAGCTCGTAGCTCCCAGGCTCCAGGCTGCAGGTTCTGAGTCCCTGAGTTGCCTGGGTCGAGGCCGAAGCCCAATGCCCGTGGCCCGAGGCCTTAGGGCCTTGAGTCGAGTTCGGAAGCTGGCAGGGTTTGCTAAACTTCTACTGCGCCAACCCCCTCCCCAGGATGGCGAAGAAGCGCGTCCACGTCCCCCGCACATTGATCTACGGCGCCGGCACCGTGTGCAGGGACTGGAGCAACATGAACAAGACTGCAACAGGTGGGGACCCCAACGCAGAGCATGGCCAATCGGCAAACACGCTGCGCAAAAGCATATCGCACTTGCTGAACCTTAACATCCCCATCGCCTTCTTCGAAAATGTCTACAGGAAAAAGGTTGTCCAGTGGATCGTGGAGACCCTGACCCAGACCCGGCGCTACTTCTGCAAGGTGTTCGTCGTGAACCCCGCCGACTGGGGGCAGGGCGTGAGTGGCAAGAGGTTTTTCGTCGTGGCAATACATTGCGGGAAGGTCGCCTTCCGGAAGGATTGCCCTTCGGGCTTCGGGCTTCGGGGATGGGGCCTGCCACCTTCCGGCAGGCGTTGCGCTGTAGCGAGGTGGGAGTTGGGCGAAGTCCAGGCCCCACCAAATTTTCGAAACAGTTTATGATTTATTGGATTTGGGGTTTCGGGTTTTGGGTTTGGGCATTGCGATCACAGATCAATCAACCTGATACGGCCACGGGCCCCGACGTTGAGGGTTTGTCGAGGCTCCTCAAGCCGTCCCGGGGTCTTGTTGGGGCAGTCCCAGTGCTCTCTTGGGCGTCTCTGGGGGCTTGCTGGAGGCCTCTCGAGGCTTCTTGGGGCCTCTTGGGGGCCTGTTGGGGGTCTCCTGGGGGCCTCTTGGGCTCCTGGGGGGCCCTTTGGGCGGGGAGCTCGAAATGTCAGTCCCCGCGCCCGGCGGCCACACGTGGAACACGTCGTGGCGTCAACGGCCAACGTTATTTTACGAAGCTCGCTGCCGCGCGCAGCGATCAAAATCAATTAAAGGCCTGGGGAGGGCCAGAAGCCGCTGGCCAACGACCACCATTCCTGTGAGATGTGCACTGACAAGCGAAGAATTGAAGTACACATGTGTCATTGGAGTGGAGCATACAAAGTGATGGTCGTCAACTGCGGGGCAGCCCCTCCCGGCCACACGCGGGCCACATCGTGGCGCCAACGACCACCGTTTTTCTGAGATGCCCATTGCCGTGCGAATCTTTCAAAATCCGCCCACTCCAACTTGGGGGGGGAGTGCGTGTGAGACATTTGGCTGTGTCCCTCAACTCTGCCCGATCCCCTGGGGCCCAAAATGACGTCTTGAGGGGGGCCTTCCCTGGGCCTACAACTTCGCGAACGCTTTACCTGGAGCCTCGGGGGCCTTAAAAGAGCTCGAAAGAGCCCAGGGGGGCTCACACAGAGCGCCAAGATAAGCCGATAGGGCTGTAAAGTGACCCAGGGTAATCCCACGACGGTCCGATATGGGTGCGCGATGACCCACGCGGCCCCCAAGACGGCTCAAGAGTGCTCCTAGATGACCGCCGAGAGGGCCCGCAGAGTCTACCATGTTCTGAGTCCTATAGGAAACGGACCTGTTTCGCTCACTCGCTTTTTCCCGGAAAGGGCAAAGGCCCAAGGTTCTCTTTTAGTATGTAAACAATGTCCCCCCGTGCCCAACTTGAAGGAGGCCGGCGGGTTCTTTCCCTGGTAAATATCGAGGTCGAAGGAGGCCGGCGGATTAAAATTTGAGGGTGTCTCAGGCGAAACGCTTGTTTTTGAAATCCCGATCGATAAATCACAGGGTGCGGGCCACTTTTTCGTGCGTTGAGGATGTCTCGAACGAAACGCTTGCTCCGCAGAGTTTGCCGAGGATGTCTCGAGCGAAACGCTTGATTTGTTACGTATGTGCCTATAGATTCGCCTTGTCCAGGGGGACGAATCCGTGTGTTTTTACGTAATGAAAACATGTGGGCCCATTTCGCCCCAGAGTGGAACAAGCGTGAAAACACGTGGGTCTCTTTCGCCCCTGAGCGGAACAAGCGCGACCCCACCCCAGCACGGCCCCACCCCAGCAAGACCACACCCCAGCACGACCACACCCCAGCACGACCTCACCACAGCACGACCACACCCCAGCACGATCACGCCCCAGCACGACCACGCCCCAGCACGACCACTCCCCAGCACGACCACCTCCCAGCACGACCACGACGACGACGACGACGACGACGACGACGACGACGACGACGACGACGACGACGACGACGACGACGACGACGACGACGACGACTACGAGGGGGATCCGCCCAGGGGGCGGCGACAGGCAACCACTCAACCGATGCAGCCACGGACTCCCTGTGTGTTTGATGAGTGGCGCCCGTACCGTTGCGTGCGTTACGCGTCTCCTCGTGGTTGTCCTGGTTGAGTGGTTGCCTGTCGTTGCTCGCGGTGCTAAATCACAGGGCGCGGACCACCCCAGCACGACCTCACCACAGCACGACCACACCCCAGCACGACCACGCCCCAGCACGACCACGCCCCAGCACGACCACGCCCCAGCACGACCACCCCCCAGCACGACCACCCCCCCAGCACGACCACACCCCAGCAAGACCACACCCCAGCACGACCACACCCAGTCGCACCCCCGTGGAATGTTTCGTGGGGTGTCTCGTGGAATGTTTCGTGGGGTGTCTCGTGGAATGTTTCGTGGGGTGTCTCGTGGAATGTTTCGTGTTCGCGAGGTGTCTCGTGGAATGTTTCGCGAGGTGTCTCGTGGGATGTTTCGCGGGGTGTCTCGTGGGATGTTTTGTGAGGTGTCGCCCAGTTGGGTATCGTGAAAACGTGACCATGCGGCGCATGTCTATATCCCTTTCCGGGTTCGTGGGTCCATCATGTTTCGTCATGCAAGCGCCCAAGACACCCCAAGGGACCGCCAAGAGCATTCCAATACGGCCCGTCAGGCCCCTAAGATGGCCCGAGTACGGCCCAAGAGGGCTCCAAGACAGGCCTAGGCGCCTGCCAGACGGCCCGAGAGATCCCCAAGAGGGCCCCAAGCCTCAAGAGGGAGAACACAAAAAATGGCCCCAATTGGCAAGAGGCCTCGAAGACTCCCAAGTTGCCACGAAGAAGCCCCCCAAATTATGCTATCGGAGTTCCCCAAAGCAAACTTTGATTGACTCGCGGGCTTACGACAAACACCTTCGCCGTCCTCGCTCTGGCCGGGCCTCCCTGGAGCAGGGGAAGGGGCACGAATCCTGACCAATAACATGGTACGCCTCATGCCGATTGCCTCCCCGCTCTGGCTGAACCTCCTTGGAGGGGTGGGAGAAGCACGAAACCTAGGACATACTATGATATGCAAATGCCCTCGTCGCTCAGTCGGGGCCTCCCTGAAGACGGGAACCGGGAGGAAGACCTCGACAGAGGGGCGCATTATGGGCCCGAAGGCATCTGAGCCCGAAGTCGGCGCACAGTTTCGACTCCAGTCCAGCGAGAGGGACTTCCTAAAGAGCCAGGGGGGCAAGAGATCATAATCAACTACCTGTCTTCGCTCCTCCTCCTCCTCCTTTTCCTCCCCCCTCCTTTTGGTCCTCATCCTTGTCTTCCTCGCCTTCCTCCGCCACCTTACTTCATCATAGGGCCCCTCTCTACCTATCGTCGTCGTCTTCGTCGTCCTCGTCGGCGTCGTCTCCGGCACCTGCCTCTCTCGCCCTGTGCCAGCGGGGCATATTGATGTACACAGTTTTGACTCCGGCCGTCGTCGTCGTCGTCGTCGACGTCGTCGTCGTCGTCGTCGTCGGAGTTTTCGTCCTTGTCGTCGTCGTGGACGTCGGCGAGGCGGCCGGAGACAAAACTGCGCACATCAATGTGCCCCGCTGGCACAGGGCGAGAGAGGCAGGTGCCGGAGACGACGCCGACGAGGACGACGAAGACGACGACGATCCGCGACGATTGATGTAGACAGTTTTGACTCCGGCCGTCGTCGTCGTCGTCGTCGTCGTCGTTGGCGTCTTCGTCGTCGTCGTCGTCGTGGGCGTCGGCGAGGCGGCTGGAATCAAAGCTGCGTACATAAATTTGCTCCGCTGGCACAAGGCAAGACAGGCAGTTGCCGACGACGTCGACGACGAGGACGACGAAGACGACGACGACCAGCGACGATTGATGCACACAGTTTTGACTCCGCCTGTCGTCGTCGTCGTCGTCGTCGTTGGCGTTTTCGTCGTCGTCGTGGACGTCGGCGAAGCGGCCGGAGTCAAAACTATGTACATCAATTTGCCTTGCTGGCACAGGGCACAGGGACCTCTAGGGGCTCACGTGGGTCTCCCCAAAGCAACCAGGGAGGGCCAGGTAAATCTTCAACAAGGCACCGAGGGCGCCCCAAGACCGGCCCCAGGGGGAGCGGTCGTGGCCAAACTCCGTCTGACGGAGTTTGTCGACGTACGTACTCGCAAGGTGCGCTGTGTGGTGGGCCGTCTGGTAGGGTAGCCTACTGTATGGCCAAAGCGGCCTATTCCTTAGGTATCTCATAGACTCCTGGACAGGGAAAGCGTCCGACGAAGAAAGCTGTGTAATCGTGGTTGGCCTCTCGGGGGCCTCTGGAAAACTGTTTTGAAGCGTCTCGGGAGCAGTTTTGGGGCCTCATTCGGGCCTCTTGGGGACCTCTTGGGGCCTCTAGGGGGCCTCTTGGGCGCTTGTTGAGGTCTCTTGGGGGCTTCTTGGGGCCTTCTGTGGGCCTCTCAGGGCGGAAAAAGGTGGAATTGTCAGTTCGTGGTCCCTCTCTTGGGCCTCTCTTGGAGCCGTCTTGGGGCTCTTTCGGGCCGTCTTGGGCGCCTCTTGGGCCGTCTTGGGCCTCTCTTGGGCCGTATTGGGCCCTCCTGGGGGCCTCTTGGGCGGTTTCGGGGCAGTCTTGGAGGCCTCCTGGGTCGTCTTGGAGCGTCGGGAAGCCGAAATGGCGCGAAGGCAAAATTCTGTCAAACACCTACGTAAAATTAACGATTTTGGCCTTGTGGGGCTCTCTTGGGCGGCTTCTTGGAGGCCTCTCGGGGTGTCTTGGCGGCCTCGTCGGCCATCTTGGACCCATCTGGGGCGTCTTTGGCCGATCTCTCGGCGACTCGAAGCCTTCTTGGACCATCTTGTGGACCATCTTGGGGGCCATGTCCCGGGGGGGGCCCCCCAGACCCCCCCAGGGGGGCACTAAACGGGAACCCCTCCGCCAGGTCGGGGAAAAATCAAGGCCAGCTCGAATGGGCCAGGGGCGCGGCGGCCTGGCGCCGCGTTCTGAGTTGCGCCCCTGGTCTCCGGGGCGGGTGCTCAGGACGGCTGCGAGTGGGACGGAGCCGTCCGCCACTTGCTAGAGCTCCTCCCGCCCGCGAAGCCCTTCCTGCTGGCCGCGGGGGACCCTGTGCGCGCGAGGCTCTTGGAAGAGCAGCGCATCTCCGGCCACAGGGCCCGGAAGATAGCGGCTGCGGCAGCGGGGCGAGGCCATTGGGGCACCCCTTGGGCCCAGGGGCTGGGGTCGGGGGACGCACGGTCAGGTCAGGGTTCAGGGGTCGGGTGGCAAGGCTGCAAGCTTCAAACTTCAAAACGCAAGCCCCAAGCTCCAAACCGTCCCTGCTTCCTCCTGGCTCCTGGCTCCAACCCTCCCAGATCATTCGCGACCGATATTTCTAGGTAGCGTTCATCGTTTTCTCGTGGGTCGGTTCTATGGTTTGAGGTTTGCCCAAAATCCCAAATTCCCAGATCCCACATCCCAGATAATCGGTCGCGCACTATCAGGGCTCCAGAGAGTGCCTCGTGGTGGCCCTGCGCTTTGAGCCTTGCGCCTCAGACCTCGGGCTCCAGACCTCAGAGCACTGACTTGACCGTTTCCCCCCGGCCATGCCAGCATCGGTTCCGAGGCCTCGACAGTCTGGGCTGGGGCAAGACGGAGCGGGACAAGCACGCGAGGGCCCGCGCTGTCCTCGCCGAGTTCGGCGCGGTCGTGCCCAGCCTGTCCGAGTGCCAGCCCAGCCTGAGGGCCATGAGCGAGAGACATCCGGGAGGGGGCATCTGGCAGGGCGATAGGCACGCGGCATTCGGCACGCGGCGAACAAGCAGCCCAGTCAGATCGGGGATCGGGGATCGGGGGGGAGGGGGCGGCCTTCCGCCGACCGAGAACCTAACGCCTGCTTGGGCCCCCCCCCCCATGGCATATCATTGCGCGAGGCAGATCTGATTCAACTTGGGGTTGCCTACGCCAGCGCTTGCGGCGTCGACGTGACACAGCGCGATCTGGTCTGGGATATCTCCCAGTCGGCGGCGAGGGTCTTGCCCAGCCTGCTCTTTGGGAGGAACCAGGTCCCGAGGCCCATGACCGCCCACAAATTCTGGCACACAAGGGAGCAGCGACCTTTGACAGGAGCAGAACACATGCTCGCACAAGGATTTTCGCCACACCTGGCGCTCGAAGGTGGGGGGTGATAGGTAATGCTACTATAAGATGAATTTGATAGGGAGATGGGATATAATGATAGAATAGAAAATAACAATAAAAATCACCAGACGCCAGTCATCAGCCTCCCCACTCCAATGACTCCAATGTCCGACGTCCAGTCCCCGAGGCCCGGAGACCCCCCATCGCCCAGCTCGGCTCGGCCTCGACTTTTCATCGAATGGGTCTGGGGTTCGGGGCTGGGGGGCTAGGGGCTCTGTATTATGCGGAAGGCCGGGGCCCAGCCCGCTGCAAATGCTACCCCCGCTGCCCGCCAAAAGGCGGCGGCATCATCCTCTCCGAGAGGGACCTCCGGCACCTGGCGGGGGATACCATGCACGTCCCGACGTTCGGCCTCATCCTGTTTTTCGTGCTCCTGAGCGTGGCGCCCCTCCGCCCTTTTGAGTGCTGCGACGATGGGGGGGCCGTGTTTGCGGCTCAGAGGCCTCACTCCGGCGTGGCCGTTATCTTGCGGAAGCCGGAGGCTGGGCGCGCGGGCGTGCCTGCGAGCTGCAGCGACCGGTTCAGGGACTTGCAGTCGCGCCTGCGCCAGGCGCTGAAGGGCAGCGCGGGCGCCCCTGCCGCGAGCGCCCCGGTCGCGAAGCGGCCGCGGCGCCACTGACCATCGATCGCGGCCCCGCCGCGCCAGAGATTCGGGCCGGACGAAAGGGGGGGATTGGGAAAGGGGGGGTTAAGAGATTTGCTGCGTGCAGCTGGTTTGGGCCCCACCGAGGGGCCCATTCCTCGATGCATAGCCGCCTCCGGCGCCAGGAGGCGCCGGGAAAATCAGCTACGTGAGCTGATTCTCAACCCCCCCCTTTGCTATCCCCCCCTTTCGCCCGACCCGAGAGATGGGAATCCAAATCCAAGGTAGGGCCCAGGATGCAAGGAGTCGGGGGGGGGTGTTCTGAATCCGCAGTGCCACCATTGCTGCACTGCGGTACTCAGAAAATCTTGGGCTCTTGGGCCCTGCCTTGGATTTGGGTTCCAAGCGGCAGCGAGTAGGGCAATTCAGAAGGGGAAAGGGGGCCCTGGTTTCGGAAATCTCTGCTACCGAGCAATCCAACTCTAACCAGACTGCCCGTGATCTCCAGTGAGTATGATGGCTTGGTAGCAGGGGTCTTGGAACCAGGGCCGATTTTCCAACTGTCTTGAGTGAGCCTCTTGAGCGACAGCGCAGGCTCGGAATTCAGGGTGCGCCAGCTTCGGGACGCAAAAATTAGCCTGGCGAAAGACCCAAACATATGCAGTTGTGAGTACCGTCGTTGTGAGTATCGCAATCCGTGGAGATCCCTGTGGGCCGTGAAAGGCTGTCCTGGGTAGGGGAGACGGTATGTGAGTGCAGCAACTGTTGCCTTCGGTGGAGCTCCCTATGGGGCCACGAAGCGCTGTCCTGGGCGGGTGGAGAAGCATGCGAACTGCGGCACTGGGGCTTTCGGTTGAGCTCCCTGTGGGGCCACGAAACGCTGTCCTGGATGGAGGAGACGCATGCGAGTGCAGCTGTGGCCTTCGGTGGAGCTCCATGTGGGGCCACGAAGTTCACGAAGCGCTGTCCTGGGTGGGGGAGGCGCATGCGAACTGCGCCACTGGGACCCTCGGTGGAGCTCCCTATGGGGCTACGCAAGGTTGGCCTGGGTGGGGGAGACGCATGCGAACTGCGCCACTGGGGTCTTCGGTGGAGGAGCTCCCTATGGGACCACGAAGCGCCCTCCTGGGCGGGGGAGACGCATGCGAGTTGCGCAACTGGGACCCTCAGTGGAGCTCCATATGGGGCCACGAAACGTTGTCCTGGGTGGGGGATACGCATGCGAACTGCGCCACTGGGACCCTCGGTGGAGCTCCCTATGGGGCCACGAATGCCAGCTTCGGGATACAAAGAAAAAACATGCGGGGCCGCCGAGCGCGATCGGCCGGGCCCATATTTGCCGCAAAAACTACCCGCGCCATTGCCGCGATTTGATTTTTGATGCGTTTCGACCCAATCCTCATCCCCCTCATCATCATATCCCCGCTCCTCCCCCGCATTATTTTGTGACTCGTCAATATTCTTATCCGAACTAGCGCACGTCGCAAGTGACATTGCGATATCATTCGTTATGCGGGTACAGCAGTAGCATGCATTTTGCAGTTTTCTTCGAATTTCACCCGAACTTGCATTTTTCAGAGAAGTCGAGATTCTTTTGAAAATCGCACTTTCCAGCCCAGGTGGGTTGTGGTGGCCATGCAGAGAAAATCATACAAAATCATGAAAACCGCAACTTCGGCTGAAATTTCGGCGTCGATATGGGTATTTTTTTTTAAGGGATCTGGGTTTTCATAGAAAAATGACGATTTCCAATCGATTTCCAGGGCGGGGCCGCTTACAAGCACCATCGTCCGACCTAAATTCCGCCCGTAATCTTCCCTGGCGGCCCCAGGTTGGTTTGACGCGACTGAATTACTACACGGACTGGTCGCATACGTTGTAAAGCCGTATCGTTTTCAGCAACCCACTGCGCGACGTGTGGGGGGCAACCGCGGCCCGTCCAGGGAACTTTTCAAGCCGTTGTGGGTCCCCCCGGTTGTCTTCCAGGGCCAACTCGGCATTGTCTTCGGGCCGTCAAAGGGGTCCCCTTGGGCGTGGGTCATCCCCGGGATTCTAGGACCTCACGTGGAGCGACAGTCGATCGAAGAGCGTGGAAGCTGACCACAGTTGGAAAACATTAGCCTGGCGAAGGACCCAACCATGTGCAGTTGTGAATACCACGATTGTGGATCTCATCTTCGCTCGCGCTCCCTATGGGGCCACGTACCGTGTGAGGGGGCGTGCCGGAATGCGTGGCGGGGTCCCCAATACGAACAAAGACGATCGCTCTGAGCGCGCGAGACTGAGACCGGGTGAGCCTGAGCGCGAGAAAGTCTGATTGTGAATGTGTCTGCGTGCGAATCTGCGAATCAGTCTACGTGCGTCAATGTCGACGCCCATGTCGGCACACCCCTCACGAGGATCGCGCCCGCTTCCTTCCGTTTCTTTTTCTGCCTCTTTGCCCGTGCACGCCGATGTCCATGGCTGCGGGCGCGGCGCCGCACTGAGTCCCCGCGACGCACGCTGGTCGCCCCGAATGGGGTCCCGGCGACGCGCGCGGGTCGTCCGCTGCGCGGAGCAGAGAGAGTGCCAGCTGGCTGGGTGATAGCGAGCAAGACTGTGGCCGCTGGGCCGAGCGACGACGGGGGCGAGCGAGGTTCTGGGCAGAGCGCACCGCGGAATTCCCGCGACGCGCGCTGGTCGCCCCGAGAGGGTCCCAGCGACGCGCGCGGATCGCCCGCGAGAGGGGTGTGCCAAAATGGGGCGGCGCCGCCATGGGAGTTCCGCCACTGGGACCTTAGGTGGAGCTCCCTATGGGGCCACGAAACGTGTGAGGGGTGTGCCAAAATGGGGCGGCGGCGCCATGCGAGTTCTGCCACGGGGACCTTCGGTGAAGCTCCCTATAGGGCCACGACGCGTGTGAGGGGTGTGCCAAAATGGGGCGGCGGCGCCATGCGAGTTCCGCCACTGGGACCTTAGGTGGAGCTCCCTATGGGGCCACGAAACGTGTGAGGGGTGTGCCAAAATGGGGCGGCGGCGCCATGCGAGTTCCGGCACTGGGACCCTCGGTGGAGCTCCCCATGGGGCCACGAAACGTGTGAGGGGTGTGCCAAAATGGGGCGGCGGCGCCATGTGAGTTCCGCCACTGGGACCTCAGGTGGAGCTCCCTATGGGGCCACAACGCGTGTGAGGGGTGTGCCAAAATGGGGCGGCGCCGCCATGGGAGACCACTGGGACCTTAGGAGGAGCTCCCTATGGGGCCACGAAACGTGTAAGGGGTGTGCCAAAATGGGGCGGCGGCGCCATGCGAGTTCCGCCACCGGGACTTGGGTGGAGCTCCCTATGGGGCCACGAAACGTGTGAGGGGTGTGCCAAAATGGGGCGGCGGCGCCATGCGAGTTCCGCCACTGGGACCCTCGGTGGAGCTCCCCATGGGGCCACGAAACGTGTGAGGGGTGTGCCAAAATGGGGCGGCGGCGCCATGCGAGTTCCGCCACTGGGACCTTAGGTGGAGCTCCCTATGGGGCCACGAAACGTGTGAGGGGTGTGCCAAAATGGGGCGGCGGCGCCATGCGAGTTCCGCCACTGGGACCTCAGGTGGAGCTCCCTATGGGGCCACGAAACGTGTGAGGGGTGTGCCGAAACAGAGACATGCGGAGAGCAAAAGCCAGGATGGGGGAGGAGGGAGGAGGGGGAGGAGGAAGAAAGGAGACGCGGGGCACCGTCTCTTCAAAACGAGGACCCAACACCACAGGATGGTTGGGAATGATGGAGAGCAGCGTGATTTGGCCTCCCGAAGCCCTCGTGGGGAGCACATTGAGGGTCTGGGCTCTTGGTTGGGCCCCTTCGGTGCCCCTTGGAATTCTCTTGACTGCTTCGGGGTGTCTCTTGAAGCAAAGCTGGACCATCTTGGCTGCCTTCGTTGCCTGCCTGAGCCGTTTTGGAAGCCTTCTTGCACCGCGTGGCAGGCGCCACGATGACGTCGAGGCACCCACGAACCCTCGGGCGGGGACGACGCTGGAACATGTCCGAACAACATATGAACATATGTAGGCCAAAATGGGCTCCAAACCGTTTGACTCTAGCAATATGCGTTGCGCAGTCTATATGGGGCAATCTGTGTGTTGCGATCTACGGGGTGCGGCTCACATTGCCGAATTTGAACAAAACAAATGCTCGCGCAATCATCCCACCCACCCAACCGCAACTTGGTTTGCAAAACCGTTGCGGCGGCGATGGCGATGACTGCCTGGCGCTGGCTGGCGCATCGCTGCGGCCGCCCGCTAGCGCGCGCAAGCTCGTGTGCAGAGCGGCCAGCTGGGCTGGCGCGACCGACGCGGTCGCGGTGGCGCTGACCGCTGGGGACTCCCCAACGCGTCTCGCAAGCCGCGCTGGCGCGCGGGCACTTCACGGCGCTGCATCTGCCATCAACCGTCACCTTCGCAGGGTCGAAATGAAAGAAGGGTTGGAAGGGAAAGGAGGAGTACGAGAAGCCTTGAGCCCGAAAGACTCGGGCCTGGGGCCATACTGACAATACGCCGCCATAGTCACGAATTGACTTTCTTTGGCGATTTTTGGACGGCGCACGTGGTGAGACAGAGGTCAAAAAGAATCGATCCCAAAAGCGACGCGTCCGTGACCGTAAAGTACACAGATTGCGGTCGCACCTAGCCGCACATATTCATAAAAAAACAAAGACTGGACATGTAGAAATTAGTGGGCCGCAGCTTCAGCTCGGCGCGCAACTCAATCCACAAACACAAAGAAATCATTTAAAAAGCGCTTCTTTGCAATAAACAACTGGTATGGCCCGAAAGGTGCGACACCGAACCGTCAAATTTCCAAACAGATGGTGGGCATCGCCAGTGCGTGTCGCGACAATCAGAAACGTGTTTGGCAATTTCCCAGTGGCGGATATCAATTCACACACGCAGTGTGCGCATCACCATCACGCTTCGCGTATTGTGCGACCGCCTTTGGTACCCAGCTTTCCCATGACCATCGCGGCAGACAGAACTCCTCCGCCACCGCCTCACTGCCCGAACCTGTCACAAAACAACGGCGCAATGTGGAAATCGACGGTTGCCAGGCCACCCGGCACGACCACTCAGAATTACTCCGACGTAGACAGTCTTGAAACCTCACTTCCGAGGCCTCGGGATACAAATTATGTCATAACTTGATGCGGGCACTTTCTGCACCCGCATTGCTTAGGCTTCTGAAGCCTGCTCATCAGCTGCAAGAGCTGCGAGGGACGGTGAAGGCCCCGAGATCCTCGACGTTTTCGAAAACCCACCGCCAGGCTGAAAGCTCAACGCCCGCATGCACGAGCGCCTGGGGATGGCACCGACCTCAACGAAGATCTGGAGGTACCACGCATTAGAATTGTTGTACAAGTATTGTCGCAACCGGTTTACCACTATTTGCCTGCCACAAATGGCAGAATGTGTGATGGAAGAGACGGCATTCCTCACAATTTTATAACCGCTACCACCAAGCCGTTAGCATGATCATGAAGGAATAGATGCACATGGGCGATGTCTGCTGAATGTACTGCGAAATGTAAATGGTTTCGCAAACAAGCAGATGTGCGAATGCCTCACTGCTGGAACTGGAACCAATATGGGCAACGAATGAAATGAGTCTGCCATGTTACCTTCAGCGCTTCAACGCTGGGACAAAGAGGCAGGTCAATAGTCTGTTGCACCACCTTATCGCCACAGCACCGTCGTCATCATCATCATCAGCATCAGCAGCATCATCATCATCATCATCATCATCATCATCATCATCATCATCATCATCATCATCATTCTCAGCATCATCAGCATCAGCATCATCACCATCATCATCAGGATCCGAATCATCACCATCACCACCACCTTTATCATTGCCATGTTCGTCATCATCGACATCACCACCATCACCATCATCGCAATTACCATCACCAGAATCAGCATCATCAGCATCATGCGTGTACTTATTGTTATTATCATCATCATCATCAGCAGCATCATCAGTATTATCATGATTATCATCATCAGCAGCATCATCATCATGGTCGCCATCATCGCCATCATCATCGTAACCATCGTACACTTCATCTTCATCATCATGATCTTCAGAATCACCATCACCATCATCCAGATAATGCACGCGAAGCACGGTTTTCCATTGACTAGCGATCACAATTGCCCCCCGCGAGGGCACTTGACTGGGATTTGGGGGTGGTGGGAAGAGGCTTGCAGAAGATGATGAGGATGACGGATCGCTACGCTGGCGCCAGCTGGGACCTTTGCTAGGGTGGTGGAATCAACACTCTCAGCGAAGGCAACCACGTAGCCTGGACAGCTGTCTGCCAGTAGCGCCCGAAGGGTCTAGGGCGCACGACGCAGCATACCATGTTGTTTCTTTCTGTCTGCACGCAGGCCCCCATGAGGACGGAAAGGAGGGTGGAGGTGGAAGCGTGGGGTGGTGGGAGGAGGAGGAGAAGGAGTATGATCTGCGTGAGAGTTGGCCATGTGCGGGAGCGTATGCCGCTTGCTCTGGGCCACCGACAACCAGCGCCAGAGGATGGCTGGACATCGCCGCCACTTCGCTCGAAGCGTTTACTCATTCACCAAGTGGCATTCTTCCATTCTCTCCCTTCCCTCACCCCTTTTTCGCATCACTCATGAAGTTGGGGTTGGAGGAGGCATCCTCAATATCTGAAGTGCGGCGGCGCTGTGAGCCTATGTTTCACACAACGTAGGTTGTACAGCACAGCGTTCAGTACATCATGAATCGTAGCAGGTATTCCAGCACCCACTGTAGGCTTGGTAAGGGCCCTGCAGGGCCGAAAGCAACGAAAAACCACTGTGACATTGTTTCCGACACGCCATATGCCTGGGTCTGGGGTTAGGTCGGGCCTGTCCCCCTGCAAGGGGATTTTGGACAAAAAATTATAGCCGGAGTGCAGTATCCCCATACAGGGTGTTAGACCCACTGCGGTTTCCAAGGTCGATTGCGTGCCCGTCCAGTGCGGGCTGGCATGGCATGTTAAAACATGCCTCCCCCTCCTCCTCCTCCTCCTCCTCCTCCTCCTCCTCCTCCTCCTCCTCCACCTCCTCTTCATCCCGAACGGCATCTCGGAGCCCAGAGTTGCAAGGATGTCTCCAGCGTAACGGGCTGGACCACCTCGCGCGCGGCATTTCGGACCCCAGAGTTGCGACGATGTCTCGGGCGAAACGTGCTGCGAGGAAGTCTCAGGCGAAACGGGCCGGACCACCTCGAGCGCGGCGTCTCAGAGCTCCGAGTTGCGGGGGCCTCCTGGGGCCTCCTGGGACCTCCTGGTGACCTCCTGGGGCTTCCTCCTGGGCCTCCTGTGGCCTCCTGGACCCCACCTGGGGCTTCCTGAAGCCTCTTGGGGCTCCCAGGGGGGATATCTAACATGTGGCCGTCGGGGCCCCCCAAAATGGGGGGGGACAAGAGCAGGAAAAATCAACGAATCGACACCGGATGTGTATTAACTTGACACGTTCTGATAGAGGGCCTCCTGGGGCCTCCTGGGAGCCTCCTGGGAATCTCCTGGGGGCCCCTGGGGCCTGTCCTGGGCGTCCTGCGGCCTCCTGGAGCTCTCTTGGGCCTCCTGGGGCTCCCAGGGTCCCAGGGAGGATATGTAACATGTGGTCTTCTGGGCCCCCAGGCTGGACCACCTCTTGCGCGGCATCTGGGAGCTCAGAGTTGCGAGAATGTCTTGTGCGAAACAGGCCGGACCACCTTGCGCACGGCATCTCAGAGCTCAGAGTTGCGAGGATGTCTCAGGCGAGACGGGCCAGACCACCTCGCGCAGGGCATCTCAGAGCTCAGAAGTTCGAGGATGTCTCAGGCGGGCTCCCAGGGTCCCAGGGAGGATATGTAACATGTGGTCTTCTGGGCCCCCAGGCTGGACCACCTCTTGCGCGGCATCTGGGAGCTCAGAGTTGCGAGAATGTCTTGTGCGAAACAGGCTGGACCACCTTGCGCACGGCATCTCAGAGCTCAGAGTTGCGAGGATGTCTCAGGCGAGACGGGCCAGACCACCTCGCGCAATGCATCTCAGAGCTCAGAAGTTCGAGGATGTCTCAGACGAAACGGGCTGGACCACCTCTCGCGCGGCATCTCCGAGGTCAGAGATTCCAGGATGTCTTAGGCGAAACGGGCCAGACCACCTCGCGCAGGGCATCTCAGAGCTCAGAGTTTCGAGGATGTCTCAGGCGAAACGGCCCGGACCACCTCTCGCACGGCACCTCGGGGCTCAGAGTTTCGAGGATGTCTCAAGCCACCTCGGGACTCAGAATTTCGAGGATGTCTCAAGCGAAACGGCCTGGACCACCTCTCGCGCGGCGTCCCGGAGCGCAACTTTTCGAGGATGTCTCAGGCGAACGGCCAATCCCGGCCAACTCAGAAACGAGAGTTGTGAGGATGTCTCAAGCGAAACGGCCCGGACCATCAAATTTTGGTGAGGATGTCTCTGCTCCGTCTTTCCTCGGCCGGAGTTAGCTTCTATCACAACAGCACCCCGTTCAGCAAGCTGTTTGGGAAAAAAACAACCCCTGGGATAAGATCGAGAGGTCCGCGGACGCACGTCTCGAAACAAACATTTGGACGTCGGATGTCTGGGGATGGCGGGAGGCAAGGCGCGCATGGCGGATGCTGAGGCGGCAAAATGACGGAGACGGCGACGGGGAGGCGGATGCAGAGGCACAGCAGCGAAAGGCGAGAGGCGTGAGGAAGGAGGGAAGAGGAGGCAGGCGGGAGGCAAGAGGAGGGAGGTGGGAGAAATGAGAGAGGTTTCAGGCAGAACGGGGCACACCATCTCGTGCGCAGCATCTCGAAGAACCCTGACGAAGAACCAGTCCCGGGGACGAGATCGAGAGGTCCGCGGGCGCACGTCTCGAAACAAAAATCGTGGCGTCGGATGTGTGTGGAGGGCGGAAGGCAGGGCGCGCATGGCGGCATCTCGGAGCTTCGCATTGTGAGGATGGCTCGGGAGAAACGGACTGGACCACCTCGCGTGCGGCATCTCGGAGCTCAGTATTGGAAGGATGCCCCAAGCGAAACGGGCCGTTCTACCTCTCGACTCCCGTTAAGCCCTCTCATGCAACTCCATTCCTCATCCCTCCTGATCCTCCTCCTCCTCCTCCTCCTTCTCGTCCTCCTCCTCCTCCTCCTCCTGCCTGCTCCCTCCTCCTCCTTCTCCTCCCCCTCCTCCTCCGGCACGTTTTGAGACGTCGCTAAAAGGTTCGTACAAATCCTGTTTGGGGAACCCTGTCTCGGAGCCCAGAGTTGCGACGATGTCCCAGGTCGCACCTGGTCGACGAGTAAGCTGTCGGGTCGGCACTGTGAGAGGCTCCACCGCCATGCTGTGAACTCAGAAGCAACTTCTAGAGGAAGCGGGGGAGGGCGCGGAAGCGGGGGGGCATGTCGTGATGGTTCCCTCGGGGATGATATCGAGAGGTACGCGGCGCACGTCTCAAAAGAAAAATCGTGACGTCGGATGTCTGGGGAGGGCGGAAGGCAGTGCGCGCATGACGGATGCTGAGGCGGCAGAAACGACGACGGCGGGGACGGGGAGGCGGAGGCAGAGGCGCAGCAGCGGGAGGCGGGAGGCGGGAGGAGGGAGGAGGGAAGAGGAACCAGGCGGGAAGTGGGAAGAGGGAGGCGGGAGAAGGAATGAGAGAGGTTGTGATTGGAGCTCCTGTGCTACGAAACGTCTCAGGCAGAATGGGCCAGACCATCTCGCGCGCAACATCTTCGAGCCTCGCATTGCGAGGATGGCTCAATCGAAACGGGCCGGACCACCTCGCGAGCGACATCTTGGAGCTCAGTATTGGAAGGATGTCTCAAACGAAACGGGCCGGACAATCTTTCGCACACGTTTTGACAAGTCCACATCGCACTCGCTTCCCGTTAGGTCCTCTCCTGCAACTCCTTTCCTTCTCCCTCCTCCTCCTCCTCCTCCTCCTCCTCCTCCTCCTCCTCCTCCTCCTCCTCCTCCTCCTCCCCTCCTCCTGCCTGCTCCCTCATGCACATCATCCGCCTCCTCCTTCTCCCTTCCATCTCCTTCTCCTTCTCCTCCTCCTCCTCCTCCTCCTCCTCCTCGACCTCCTCTTCATCCCGAACGGCATCTCGGAGCCTAGAGTTGCGAGGATGTCTCCAGCGTAACGGGCTGGACCACCTCGCGCGCGGCATCTCGGACCCCAGAGTTGCGACGATTTCTCGGGCAAACGTGGTGCGAGGAAGTCTCAGGCGAAACGGGCTGGACCACCTCGAGCGCGGCGTCTCAGAGCTCCGAGTTGCGGGGGCCTCCTGGTGCCTCCTGGGGCCTCCTGGGGACCTCCTGGGGCTTCCTCCTGGGCCTCCTGTGGCCTCCTGACCTCCACCTGGGGTTTCCTGACGCCTCTTGGGGCTCCCAGGGTGGATATCAAACCCGTGGCCGTTTGGGCCTCTCCAAATGGAGGGGTTGGCACAAGAGCAGGAAGCATCAACGAATCGACACCGGATGTGTATTAACTTCACACGTTCTGATAGGTGGCCTCCTGGGGCCTCTTGGGAGCCTCCTAGGAATCTCCTGGGGACCCCTGGGGCCTGT